ACAGACAGACAGACAGACAGAGACAGACAGACAGATAGATAAGTATGTAGTCACATAAATAGATCAGTAGGTAGATAGAAAGATCGGTTTGGTAGATAGATAGATACAAATATTGGTAGGTAGATAGAAGAAAATATAGGTAGGTAGATAGAAAAATCTGTAGATACAGTAGGTAGATAGTTAGATCGGTAGGTAGGAAGATAGCTGTTCCATTTATTGATCCATGGCTTTCAGATGATACACCCATCGCCTCAGCCAAAGCGCCTCCTGCTGACAGCGACGCTGATGGAGAAGGTGTGGACGGGACGGGTGTCAACGGGCGTTTGTGGAGGACCGTGATCATTGGTGAACAGGAACATCGGATCGACATGCAGGTCATACGGCCCTATCTTCACGTCATATCGCATGGAGGTACGTCACGCTTCAGAATCAACGTTTATGCAGTTTATATAATCTCTGCTGTGTCCTGAAGTCGCTTCTTCTCTGTTCTTTAGGGTACTATGGCGAAGGCTTGAATGCCATCATTGTGTTCACGGCTTGTTACCTTCCTGACAGCAGCTGCCCAGATTACCATTACCTGATGGAAAACCTCTTTCTGTGAGGAAATGAAAATACTTGACTTAGCAAGCACAGCTAAGCCAGACTGTACAATCTGATTTTCTTATTTGGCTTCTCTTCACATATTCACACTGTCTGTTCCTCAGGTATGTGGTGAGCAGTCTGGAGATGCTGGTGGCTGAGGATTACCTGATCATCTACATGAATGGAGGAACGCCGCGGAGTAAGATGCCTGGCATTAGCTGGCTCAAGAAGTGCTATCAGATGATCGACAGAAGGTATGGACATAGTCATCAATTTTATGCAAATTGATTTTTTAAGAAATTGAGATAAACATCTTCAATCTTCATCCTCAGACTGAGGAAAAACCTGAAATCTCTGATTATCGCTCATCCGTCCTGGTTTATCCGGACTGTCATCGCAATTTCCAAACCCTTCATCAGGTAAACATATTATTCAACAAGAGAACGGAAATGAGATTTGAAATTGATTAAATGAAATCATGTACTTATTGAAAAGTCACTGAAAAAGCTAAAATATTGGTCAATTAATCTGATGAATATATTGCATTATATATATAACATATAACTTTATTTGTTTTTTAATATATAAAATAAAAATATAAAACATTATAGCCTACCACAAAGAAATAAATTCTCATAAATTAACAAAAAGTGCATGGATAATTATTTACAGTTCATTATGCAAGGCTCATCAATTATATTTTATCCTCTACAGCGTGAAGTTCATGAATAAGATCCGTTATGTGCACAGTCTGGAAGAGCTGGAAAAGATTGTTCCTATGGATCATATCCAGATCCCAGAGTGTGTCTTACAGTAAGAAGATTTCAAACATACAAACATGTTACCCTTTTTTTACCCAAAACTATAATCTGGTACCAGTTTTTAAGATCAAATTGTCTTTTTTGCAGATTTGAAGAGGGAAGAATGAACGCTAGAAAAGAGAGGTAATCACCAAACTCCTCAAAATTGGCTTATTTGACACCTATTAGATAATGCTTTGACAAACTGGAAGAGACCAACTCCCAATTTACCCAGAATGCTCTTCTCTTTGTAGAATGGAGCAGGAACAGAAAGAGCAGCAGCATCAAGACCAGCAACAGAAGCCAGTCAATCAAGAGATGTGAGCAAACAAACAAAACGCATTATTATGCATGTTTGCGTTTTGCAGCATAAAATAACTGAACAACTCTCTGCCTCCAGGACAACAGCGATTGAAGAACCTGGACTCTGAGCGGACGAGCTTGAATTTTTTTTTTTTGTTGCTGATCTTGGACCATTTTTCATATTCCCAAATTATATATTAATACGCATATCAGACGACTCGAAACTGGTCTCAGATCAGCAACAAAGCGGAAACTTTAATCAAAAGTTGGAGGGTGAGAAGGCCAGCTGCTCTCGCTTTCGTCTGCAAAGGCACAAATTTAAAAAAGCATCTCCAAATCCACCAACAGATGGCACTACGCACAGAGAAATGTCGCTGTTTTCCTGGTAGCAGGATGACCATCCTGCACAGTAGCCTCTTTGCAGTTACCGCTTTTTTAAATAGGCTGTTCCCTGCTTTCTGACCCTTGAGAATGTCGTATAACCTGCCTTTAATTGACGGGGATTGCTGGTGCATGTCGATTTCCAAGCATCTCTGTGCTTCTCTGTGTGTATGCGCCCAAATCGAATGTAACTGTTTTCCATTTCGCTGATTATGTTTGCCTGGAATCCTTTCTTGGATGTTTTTTTGAATGTTTTAACTCCTTTCATCTGTTTAATGACCAGCTTTTGTAAATGATAAGTGCCAGTCATCTCTGAAAACATTTAGACATTAGCCGTACTTTTATGTTGCCTTATGTTTGGTTCAAAATTAAACATTCTGCTATATGTATGACTACAATATTGATTTGCTTTTGTCTTTTCTTGATCTTTATATCCAGTGCTGAATAGTAACTGATTACATGTAATCTGGATTACCTAATCATATTTTAGTAAGTGTTTTTATTTTGATTGTTGTTATTTTAAAAATATTTATTTTAATTTTACATTTTTATGATTTTATTATTAGCTTTTTTCATTAAGCTCATGAACCCCCTTTAGTTCCTTCATGAACTCGTTTGGGAAACCTTGACGTAATGTAATGTTTAATGCATTTCATTTGGTTTATTACAATGAATGGAATGTTTTTTTTTTCTTTGTATTTTTATATGGTACAAGATTATCCTATTTAAATAAATGTGATAAACAAGTTCAAAAATAGTAATCTAAAAGTAATCAAAAAGTAGTCTGATTATCTCAAATGTGTAATGTAATGGATTGTGTTACTAAATACAATTTTTGTCATGTACATTGGAATCAGAATAACAGACTACAATTTGTAAGTAATCTACCCAGCACTGTTTATATCTGGCTTACTAATAATATTATGTTCTGAAAGCTAATTTATGAATGAAAAACAGAGTAAACACAGAGTAAAAACATTTCTTTCTTAAAGGGGTCATGTTGCTAAAAAAATAACATTATTTAGTGTATTTGGTGAAATGAAAGGTGTTTACGCGGTTTAAGGTTCAAAAAACACATTATTTTCCACATACTGTACATTATTGTTTCTCTTCTATGCCCCGCCTTTCTGAAACGCTCGATTTTTACAAAGCTCATCG